CATCCACAGGGGGCGTCATCCACAGGGGGCGCCATCCACAGGGGGCGTCATCCACAGGGGGCGCCATCCACAGGGGGCGTCATCCACAGGGGGCACCATCCACAGGGGGCGTCATCCACAGGGGGCGCCATCCACAGGGGGCGCCATCCACAGGGGGCGTCATCCACAGGGGGCGCCATCCACAGGGGGCGTCATCATCCACAGGGGGCGTCATCATCCACAGGGGAAGAAACAAAAATCTAAATGTTTATCTTTTATTATTTTTACTAAAATTCTTCCTGCTTTTATTCTGAAGCATGACACCAGGGGCCCCAATCCCCCTGGCCCCCTGGTCCCCAGGCCCCCTCCACAGCTCGTAACACTTAACCAGCTCTCTGGGGGAGATGGGCGGAGTTATCTGATGTCAGGTGAACCCTGAAACACGCTGTATCATTATCGTGTCAAAACGACTCAACTACCATGACGCTACTGAGAGGATCAGCAGCAGGAGAGCGCATCAAGTTAGCTGTTAGCTATTTACCATTAAATGTTAGCTTTTAACTGTTAGCAGTTAGCGACAGTGAATAGCTCACAGAGGTTGTGTTGATTTACACTGTGATGTGTTCAAGCTCTGTTCAGTAAAAATGAGTACTGGGTGAAGGTAATTTATATCTCATTGTTGTCAAGAACACCTTTAAGGAGTTTCCTCAAATTTGGCACAAACTTCCACTTGACACAGACACACAAACTGGTGAGAAGTTTGTGGTCAAAGGACAAAGGTCAGCTTGACTTTGACATCATCATGTTTAAAGGTCATATCTCAGGAACAGAAGGGGAGACATTTGGTCAGATACTGAATTAGTGACTCTAATCTGATTGGTCAGATGAAGCAGCCGTGTTTTTTGCATTCGGAGCTGAAATCAGAATAAATTATTTATTTGTGTCTAAATCAGCTCTTTTTTCTTAAATTATTAGTACTGATCAGTATTGAATATGTTTTAATGAACGTCGTTGGTCAGCTTCATTTCTCTGTGATGTTTCGTCTCAGATGGCCGAGTCAGAGGAGCCGAGAGACGTCTTCAAGCTGAGCCGTGATTGGCTGTCTGTACAGGAGGTGGTCGACACCGTCAGCAGCTCTTCCTGTGGAGCTATTTCACTTTTCATAGGTTCATAATTTATTAATTATCAGCAGCAGAAATATTTCACTCAGGATCACAAACCTTTATTTTATATGTGTAAATTAATTCTGTCCATATTTTCTTCTTCTCATGTCTCAGAAACATTTTACGTGTTTCATACACGAATAGATAAACACATCAATAACCTTCAATAGATAACAGGTGTGTGTGCGTGTGTGCAGGTACGACCCGTGAGGACGAGGAGGGTGGTAGGAAGGTGATTGGTCTGGAGTACGAGGCGTATGAGCTGATGGCCCAATCAGAATTCAGGAAGCTGTGTGCTGACATCAGAGAGCGCTGGCCAACCGTGACGCACATCTGTGTTCATCACCGGCTGGGGTGAGACCACACAGCTGTTACTATCATCTGTCAATACATCTGTCAATACATGTATCAATACATCTGTCAATACATCAATACATCTATCAGTACATCTGTCAATACATCTATCAGTACATCTGTCAATACATCTATCAATACATCTGTTAATACATCAATACATCTGTCAGTACATCTGTCAATACATCAATACATCTATCAATACATCTGTCAGTACATCAATACATCTGTCAATACATCCATCAATACATCAGTACATCTATCAATACATCTGTCAATACATCAATACATCTATCAATACATCTGTCAATACATATATCAATACATGTATCAATAGATCTGTTAATACATCAATACATGTATCAATACATCTGTTAATACATCAATACATCTGTCAGTACATCTGTCAATACATCAATACATCTGTCAATACATCTGTCAATACATCAGTACATCTATCAATACATCTGTCAATGCATCTGTCAATACATCAATACATCTATCAATACATCTGTCAATACATATATCAATACATGTATCAATACATCTGTCAATACATCTATCAATGCATCTATCAATACATCTATCAATGCATCTATCAATACAACTGTCAATACATCTATCAATACATTTGTCAATACATCTATCAATACATCTGTCAATACATATATCAATACATGTATCAATAGATCTGTTAATACATCAATACATGTATCAATACATCTGTTAATACATCAATACATCTGTCAGTACATCTGTCAATACATCAATACATCTGTCAATACATCTGTCAATACATCAGTACATCTATCAATACATCTGTCAATGCATCTGTCAATACATCAATACATCTATCAATACATCTGTCAATACATATATCAATACATGTATCAATACATCTGTCAATACATCTATCAATGCATCTATCAATACATCTATCAATGCATCTATCAATACAACTGTCAATACATCTATCAATACATTTGTCAATACATCTATCAATACATCTGTCAATACATCTATCAATGCATCTGTCAATACATCTATCAATACATGTATCAATACATCTATCAATACATCTGTCAATATATCTATCAATACATCTGTCAATACATCTATCAATGCATCTGTCAATACATCTGTCAATACATCTGTCAATACATCTATCAATACATCTGTCAATACATCTATCAATACATCTGTCAATGCATCTGTCAATACATCTATCAATGCATCTGTCAATGCATCTGTCAATACATCTGTCAATACATCTGTCAATACATCTGTCAATACATCTGTCAATACATCTGTCAATACATCTGTCAATGCATCTGTCAATACATCTGTCAATACATCTGTCAATACATCTGTCAATACATCTGTCAATACATCTGTCAATACATCTGTCAATACATCTGTCAATACATCTGTCAATACATCTGTCAATACATCTGTCAATACATCTGTCAATACATCTGTCAATACATCTGTCAATACATCTGTCAATACATCTGTCAATACATCTGTCAATACATCTGTCAATACATCTGTCAATACATCTGTCAATACATCTGTCAATACATCTGTCAATACATCTGTCAATACATCTGTCAATACATCTGTCAATACATCTGTCAATACATCTGTCAATACATCTGTCAATACATCTGTCAATACATCTGTCAATACATCTATCAATACATCTGTCAATACATCTATCAATACATCTATCAATACATCTGTCAATACATCTGTCAATACATCTGTCAATACATCTATCAATACATGTATCAATACATCTATCAATGTATCTGCCAATGCATCTGTCAATACATCTGTCAATACATCTGTCAATACATGTATCAATACATCTATCAATGTATCTGCCAATGCATCTGTCAATACATCTGTCAATACATCTGTCAATACATCTGTCAATACATCAGTACACCTGGTGTGGTGTGGTGTAAGGTGGCCTCACTGATTGGTGCAACACGTACAAGTCACCTGTGACCTTCCTCTGTCAGGTGGGTGGCGGTGGGCGAGGCCAGTGTGGTCATGGCGATCTCGTCTCCTCATCGCCATGATGGCCAGCAGGCGATCCAGCATGGCGTCACCCAGCTGAAGGCTAGCGTCCCCATCTGGAAGAAGGTCAGAGTGTTTCCACATGCTGCCTGACAACAGTCCACGCTGACCACTGATCACCGTCTTATTGATTATTGATCCACAGGAAGTGTACGACATGCAGGAGGCCAGCTGGAAGGAGAACGCCGAGTGTTCGTGGTCAGCTCACAGGAAACGCCACACCGCCATGTCATCCTCCGAGAATGTCTGATTATTAATAAAGACTCAAGTCATTCAGCAGACTGTGGTGTCTGTCTGTCTGCCTGCCTGTCTGTCTGTGTGTCTGTCTGTCTGCCTGTCTGTCTGTCTGTCTGTGTCTGCCTGTCTGTCTGTCTGTCTGTCTGCCTGTCTGTGTGTCTGTCTGTCTGCCTGTCTGTCTGTCTGTCTGTCTGCCTGTCTGTGTGTCTGTCTGTCTGCCTGTCTGTCTGTCTGTCTGTGTCTGTCTGTCTGCCTGTCTGTCTGTGTGTCTGTCTGTCTGTCTGTCTGTGTCTGTCTGTCTGCGTGTCTGTCTGCCTGTCTGTGTCTGTCTGTGTGTCTGTGTGTCTGTCTGTCTGCCTGTCTGTCTGTGTCTGCCTGTCTGTCTGCCTGTCTGTGTCTGTCTGCCTGTCTGTCTGTGTGTCTGTCTGTCTGCCTGTCTGTCTGTGTCTGCCTGTCTGTCTGTCTGCCTGTCTGTCTGTGTCTGTCTGTGTGTCTGCCTGCCTGTCCGTCTGCCTGTCTGTCTGTGTCTGTCTGTGTCTGTCTGTCTGCCTGTCTGTGTGTCTGTCTGTGTGTGTGTCTGTCTGTCTGTCTGTGTCTGTCTGTCTGCGTGTCTGTCTGCCTGTCTGTGTCTGTCTGTGTCTGTCTGCCTGTGTCTGTCTGTCTGTGTCTGTCTGTCTGTCTGCTTGTGTGTCTGTGTGTCTGTGAACACTGTGTTTTGTGAGATGACCGTGAACACATCATCAGGTCCACACACGAGCTCAGACTGTCGCCGGTTATGACGTCATGACCATCAGCAAATAAATTCAATTATAAATTAACATTAATTGTTTTATTCTAACATTCACTCAGTGAGTTTAAATAAAGCTTTTATTGTGAAGTTGAGCGGAAGTGGCGTGCCCGCTGTTGCTACCCAGCGTCCCGGGCCTCCCCCTCCCCCGGTTGGTCAGCTGACCGTCGGCCGGTCTGGTGACTGTCAAACCCCCGAAGCTCGCACCGTGACCGGACACCCGCACCACCAGGCCGAGGCCGGTCCCCGTGGCCCCGTTACCGGAGCTCCTGACCCGGACTGGTCCCCCGAAGCCCCCCGCTGTCACCTGGAGGCCGGATCGTTGGCCTTAAACAAGCCGAGCTCGTCGCACCCAGGATCGGACCCTCAGACACTCCGAGGCCGGTCAGCTGGTCGGTCCTTCTCCGAGCCTGTGCGCCCCCAGCCGGCCCGCAGCACCGGCAGCCCCCGCTGAGCGCCATGGCCGTGTTGGAGCTCGCCATGCAGGGACTGGCCGTGTTCGGCTTCCTGCTGTTCTTCGTGCTGTGGCTGATGCACCTCATGTCCATCATCTATGTGTAAGTCACCGCTAGGCTAGGCTAGGCTAACCTCAGCTAGCTCCCAGATAGCCGAGCGACGCTCCAGTCTTCTGCCTGAGTTTCTGTTTTATTCTAACATATTTGTCACTTGTGAGATTACACATTAAACAACACGTTTTTAGTTTCTCTGCGGGGCTCTGAACGCGTGGCAGCGGGTAAAACCTCCGTGTCGGAACGGTTTCTGTTGGGCGTTTTCCTGGTTAACCGCTAGCCGGTTAGCTGTGCCAGGTGATTCCGCTCAGTCAGGAGGAATCCCTGAAGCTGCTGCCGTAAAAATGACTGATACATTTTAAACTGAGCCAGCCGGGACAGATCGCTGAACGAAGCTAAAGTGTGTTAAAATATTAGTGCGGATCTTCATCGCGAGGCCAACTCGGTTCCGTCTCGGTTCGGTAACGTTATCCGCATGAATTTCCTGTTTCATCTGTTTGCGCCAAATTACATGATAAACCCTGGTGATTTAACAATGTTTGGTTGGCGGCTGTTACTCTCGCGTGGTTTAAAACTGAGAAATAAGTTTATTTGAAGTGTTAGGAGTCGCTCTTTAATTCGGCATTAGTCAAATTGACGCAGCAGCACTCCATCCCATAGATTTCAAGGTTTTGGAAATCTATGGGATGGTTTTCAGGCTCAGTTCTCCAGGCTCAGCTTTAAACCAGTGAAAACAGAGCAAATGAAAAACTGAGCTTTTATTGGCATCAGTAGACAATTATTGTTAATGTTAAATATTAGTTCTTCAAATAAAGCCGTGGGTGAAGTTATTTTACTGCAGTAAGTGACTTTATTGATAGCATCTTAAAGTGACACATTTTGTACAGGAGTTTGGTGCAGTGGAGTTATGGCAGTCTAAAAGTTATGGGGCAACACTGGTTTTTCCAGTAAGTCTTTCCACATTAGTTTGGAACGTGGAAATATTCTGAATGATTTGGAAACATTTTTTTCTTGCCAGATTTCAACACACAGGATATGATCTGATCATTTCAGTTAATGTTTTGGGCCTCTGACTACCAGCTGATATGACCTGGAAATTCCTTGAAAAGTCATTGAATTCTCGGGTCACAGTCATCAGCATTTAGTCTTCTGCTGTCTGTTCCATAGGCTGCACTATATTTTATTAATTATCCAGAAATCCATAACTATTCCAGGCTTCTCCAGGACCTTAATCACCTCTTGTGTAATTCTCTGTGGGACTTAAAAAATCCCAGGATTCCTAGAGGGACTTTAAGACCTTCCAGATCTCTCCAGTACATCAGGGACGCAGACTTTATCCACATCCTTCCACAGACACAGAAACAGACCTTCATACAGCTGTTAGAGAAGGTGTCGCTCTCACCTGATTGGTCAGTTTGGTCGTCGCAGGCTCTTGTATTCATCAGACCGTCACTGGACGTCAGCTGCCACTCATTAAACTCTCTGATGGATCTGTGGTCGGTGGTTCAAACCCAGGTCCCAGGTTTCAGCGTAAGACAGAGTCAGAAGTGAAAGACCACGCTCCCATCATGTGACTGGGTCTGCATCATTACCACGCCGACGTACCGCTGTGGTGCGGAGAGTAGGCGGAGTCTGTACACCATGTGACATGCATCGTAGCCGATAGCGACCACGACTCTGTATCCTGTGCTGCAGAACATTGCACCTGGAGCGGCGGTGCAGAAACTGTTCACACATATTATTGATTATTTTTATAATTATTAGTTTGGATCAAAATGTCAAAACACAGAAAAATCCAAAGTGTCTCGTTGTGTCCGACGTCAGAGACTCGGCTCAGCGGTACATTCGCACTCCTGAGAACGCACCCGAAACAATAAATCCATCATCAATACATTGACTGACTGCCTCTGAGCTGTGGTGACATCACATCATCACACTGAGCTGCAGGTTTGAATACCCTGCGCTGTCAGAGACACACCTTGAAGCAGGTAGAGTTGTTGTGTAGAGATGCAAATCTGTGTTGTGCTGAGGAAGCTTCTGACAGAACACAGTGGTGTTACTTGTTTTATCTGAATTTGGATCAGACCTCCTGTTATTAATGTTGTTGTGGCACCGTGTAACAAACCATCACTAGTGGTGTCCTCTCTGAACCTTTCCACCTGCTCCACTGGGCTGTCCCACTTCTCCATCCCTCTGTAACCCCGCCCTCAAACATCTGGCTTGCGCCACTCGGGCACAGAAGAAAATTGGGGGAGTGATTTTAAAGCTGATCTGTACACAGGAGATGTTTTATTAACGTTATCTCAGTCAGTCCCTCATGTGAAGAAGCTGATTGATGCATTTGGGAGTTTAAATAAAAGTGAAGTCACTCCTCCAAACCACCTCACCTGTCCTTCACATGTTGGCACCGCCCCTTTTCAGTGGAGAACACAGGGCATGAAATATTTTAGGATAAACATCCAAACTCCTGTGCAGAAGATTCTTTAGATTTAAATGGACCACACCTCCTAAAGTCTTTGAGAGAGGACATTAAGAGATGGACAGTTCTTCCCATGTCTTCATGGGGCAGAGCAGAGGTGATTGAAATGAATGTTTTACTGAGATTATTTCTGACTTCAGACATACCACCTGAACTCCCCTCTCATTGGTTTAAAGACATGAAGATACTGACAGAAACCAGACTCAGTGAGAAAGACTGCTGAGACCAAGAGGAGGTGGTGGATGAGCATTAACAGATGTTTATTGGTAAAATCCTTCAGTATGATTTTCCTGTGAGGTAGTTAAACTTGTACAGAAACATTTAGGCTTTGACGGGGCGCCTCTGCCGTCATACCGTGTGTGGAGCGACCACCGACAGACAACAGGTGGCAGTGCTGAGGTCTGACTGATTTGGGTCAGACTGTGATGGACAGAGATGTGGTGTCCTTTAACGAGGTGAAAACAGATGCTGAGTTTTTGTCAAACCTACAGCTAGGGCTGGGCCATACGGACAGAGATTCATATCAGTTTTTACAGACTGAACGGTGATACACCATATATGTGGCCCATGTGTATATATGGGTGTTTTCTGTGACATGGGCAACATGTTCAGCTGCAGGTCAAAGACACATCTGAGACGTCAGGAGCACTATAAAAACAAACTGTGATCAAAATAAGATGCAAAGAAAAACTTGTTTTCCATCTGTTGGCCTTTCAAATGAATTGAGTGCTGGAGAATGATTTAAATATTTAGATCTTATTTCTGCATCACCAGAGAGGCCGAGGGAGGGACGGAGACAGAGACACTTTGTCCTCATTATATTCGTCTTGTAAATGAAACATCTGTGTTGTCACTGCGTCTTTTAAACCCATCTGTCGCCTGCATCCAGGCGCCGTCTCAGTGTCGCACGTTAGACTGCTACTACCAAGCAGAACAGCGACGCGCTATGATCCACGTCACACACAAACGAGCAGCGCAGTGCTGTACTGCACATGTGCAGCTGCGCTCATCTCACAATCTGATGTAGCGTAGATTAAACAAAGGAGCAGCTCTGTGTCTCTCTGAGTGTGAGTGAATGAGTGAAGGGGGTGGAGCCATAAGGAGAGACAAACACTGGTGCGCTTTATGTAACACAACTTGACACCATATCGATATAAACAGTGTCTAAATTAATATCTTGCCTGAAAATATATTGCACATAGTCGTTATTTTGTCCAGCCCTACAGTTAGGATCAATCCGAAGGTCACTCATCTCAAAGAATATTTCCACAGAGTCAGATAAGGAGAGTAGTTTGGGCAGTGTTGAGTCAATGCTCCTCGCTTCCATCAAACATCAGCAGGAGAGGGACCTGGATGTATCCCTGACCTCAGCCTGGCTGGAGTCTGTCGTAGGAAACACAGCAGTGGTATCCAAATGTCTCGCTTTTTATTACACCATGCAGATTTCAAAATAGAGATCACTCCCTTTCACATCTCTGTTGGCATGGCTGAGGTGAGGCAGGGTCTGTCATGCATCTGTTGTGGTGTCAGATGTTTTTGGGACAAGGTGACATGAAGTTTGTCTTCTGTCTTGGATGTTAAAATACCTCAGTGTCTTCAGTCTGCCTCTGGAGCTCAGTTCAGACCAGACTCACCACAAGAGGAGTTGAAACAAACATCTACTGTCAACACTCAGTTCTGTAACGTTGTAAAAACCTGCTGGTTCACAGGAAGTGAGACGGCGTATCATCTCTAGTCAACAACTCTCTGTGCTTCTGATCTGTAACGTCGACAGGAAGTGACCACCATGAGACGGCGTATCATCTCTAGTCAACAACTCTCTGTGCTTCGTTCTGATTTGCAGCTTTTCAGACTTATTTTGTGGCTGAATATAATTTGTAGCTTCTTAAAATCTGAATGAGGATAGTGATAGTGAGATACTGGCTACAGTGATGAAACAAAACCAGCATCAGATGGACTGTATTCATAATCAATACGCCACAATAATATAAATAACCAGCGCCAATTCATCAGTCAATGAGAATGTGTGTGTGGGCGGGGCATAAGCACATACAGCCAGCAGCAGCAGCAGCAGCGACCCACCGTCTGACACCGGCACACCGTGAGGATGGAAACAGAGGGCTCTGTGGGGACGGAGCACCTGCTGCAGCAAGCCAACACGTCATCAGCAGTCATTTTGACTTGACCAGCTGACTTCACTACAAGCTGATTGGCTGTTGAAACAGGTGACCTGCTTTAAAACCAGCCGCCGGCCATTTGACCAGCTGAGTGTCAGGTGACATCATCAGCCGGCTTGAGTTCAGCTCAAACCGGCCAGTTCACATCACTGACACTTTCCCCTGCACCGTTCTAAAACAAAAACAAAAACAGATCTTTGCAGCGCCGGGCTGATACGAGTCAAGCCAAAACAACACCTGTGGAAAAGTGCTAATCTGACCTCTGACCTCTCTGTCTTTTTCAGGCGTCTCCACCTCCACAAGAAAAGGTCGGAGGTCAAACAGCCGTTTGTGCAGCTGGCAGGAGTTTCTCTGCTGAAGCCTCTGAAGGGCGTCGACCCAAACCTGATCTCCAACCTGGAGACATTTTTTACACTGGATTATCCTAAGGTGACGCTGACCCCCCCCATCCCACTGCCCTGTCTACCGTCCCACTGCCCTGTCTACCGTCCCACTGCCCTGTCTACCGTCCCACTACCCCCTGTCTACCGTCCCACTGCCCCCTGTCTACCATCCCACTACCCCCTGTCTACCGTCCCACTGCCCTGTCT